TAAACAGTCCTATCCCATTCCCAGAAGCCAGTTTCACTTTACTGGCTTTGTCGGAAGCCGAAGCCTAGTCTAGCCAAAAGACTAGCAGAGGGAGTCTACACACAGGCCAACTCCATGCTCTGATCTTAAACTTCTGCAGGTGAAGGCAAGTCACTGCTGATAGGAGGTTGGATTTGGAAAGATGAGACTTTCCCCCTCCTTAAGAAAGGATGGTAAGAAAGGGGAGGCTGGGAAAGAGCCCCTATTTATACCTCTTCTCTGAGGTATAAATCTCCAACTACAGGAGAAAAGAATCCTGAGTCACTGAATTTTTCACCACAAAAGATCCTCTTCTGAGTAATAAAGAACTGTCAGTCACCACCTCTGCTGTCTGCAAACCCCTGAGAACCTATTACTGTCATCAGAACCCAGGCTAACTTTCCCAAAATCAAGCAATGGGGCTCTACAAAAAAAAAAAAAAAAAGTCTAACACTTGCACATATGTGTGGGAGGGGGGAGTACAGGGTGGGGAGAGTACATTGCTATCAGGTAATTTTAGGGATCTACTAACACTGGCAACAGTAACAGGGAACTATATCTGTTTCTGCTTGAGAAAACGCTTCAATAATATCCTGTTTCTGGAATACTGCATAAATTCCTGGCATGCAGCCTTCAGATGTTTCAAGAGTGCTATTTTCCTTTTCTGAGACAGAAGGGCCCAGGAAGGAGAATACATCAGAGGCCACATGGGAGCCTGTGAAAACTGTCCAAGTCTCACTGCAGTTGGGGCATTTTCTGCTGTTACTATACCAGCACCTTCACGGAGACTCAAGTGTCCCCAAGCCCTGACAGAAGCACAGGTGGCCTTTCACAGCCGAAGTGACCCAGCTCAGTACCACTGGAGGTCTACCAGCAGAGTGGAGACTTCCACACTCAGGTAAGAATCAGAAGATGAGAGAGCAAACAGAGGAGCCCTGCTGGTTTCTAGGCCAAAGGACTAAAAGGGAAAGAAAAAGGACACCATCACAGACACACATGAGCACAAAAAAAGGAAACATCTACAGGTGCCTGACAGGTTTTGCTGCTAAAACCTAAGCCTTTTAAGAGGTACCTCTTTCCCCAGTGCCTCTACTTTTTCAAATAAAGGTTTTACACAAAGACACTCACGAACTTACAAGCATCCAAGGGAACAATGGCTGTTGCCTTGAATCCCAGCCAGAGTGGGAGTGAACAGATCTTGATGCTCAAGGACAGTCACCCCCACACTGTCCTGGAATTGCTTCACTGGTCTCAGATTCAGAGCTGCTGCAGCTTCAAATACTCATCACAAAACCCCCAGCCCCAAACCTCAAGCTGCATCCTTCATTCCCACCGATATGAAAATAGCTCTCCCACATTATAGGCATCATTTCTCACTGCTCTAGTTTCCAAGTCTCCTGCAATGTGGCAACATAACTTAAGAATATTAATTTTTTTAAAAAACCATTCCACTAAATGAAGTCTCACTATGGTGGGATATATGGGTGGCCCCTAGACTGAAGCCATCTTGAGGAGAAACTGAGATTAAGTGTCTCCATTATCATATATGCATTTGTTCCAATGTTTACCCTTAACCCACTGTCCTAATACTCAACACTCAGGTCTGTTTTCAAATATTAAAAAAATTAGGCACTGGGCTTCTTCCTCTATTTGTTCTTTCCCCCACTGCTTAAGGGAAGATCCCTAAACAAGACTTCCTTACTGTTCAAAAAGATGGAAGAGGGAAAATGAATCCCACTTGTCAGCTTCAACTAGGAGATCACATGTCAATTCAGGAGCTCAGTAAAATGCTTCACACATGGCAATTACACAACCACTACCATTGGACCTGCTGATATTCGGGCCTTCAAGTGGGCACTGCAGGCCTGTAAGTGGGCACTGTAATCCTGCTGCCTCAGTGAACTGTCTCTTGGTACATGGGTAAGTAGAGGGGGAAAACAGCACATCTACTCTCTGGTCTTCCTTCTCTGCCCACAAGCAGCTCTAAGACTTCTCCACAGTTCACTTGTTTCAGTACAGAAATGAGGAAGCTTATGTGAATAATTTTTTTAAAAATACTGTAATTCTCTGAGCCCACAGCCAGACACCAGTACAGTTGACCCTTGAACAACACAGGTTTGAACTGCACAGGTCCACTTCCATGCAGATTTTTTACAGTACAGTATTGTAAACGTAGTTTCTCTTTCTTGTGATTTTCTTAATAACATTTTCTTTTCTCTAGCTTACTTTATTGTAAGAATACAATATATAATACATGTAACATACAAAATAAGTTTTAATCAGCAGTTTATGTTATCACTAAGGCTTCCTGTCAACAGCAGGCTATTAGCAAAGTTTTGGGGGAGTCAAAGTTATACATGGATTTTTGACTGCATCAGGGTCAGGACCCCTAACCTTGTGTTCTTTAAGAGTCAACTATAGTTACCTGGTTGTCACAACCGCTAAGGATATGGGCAAAGCGCATAAGGAATGATGTAAAACATAAAGCAAGTCTTTCTCTGGGCTATAGAAAAGCATGGAGGGAGTGAAATAATGCTTAGTAGCAATAAACCTGAAATCAGTTCTTACTTTTAAAAAACCAGGTGAATTATTACCTTTGGAGGGTGCATTTATGTGTATGGAGTGGGAGGGTAGCTGTAGAAATTGCTGCCCCAGCAACAGCAAAGGAGGAAATCCCCTGCCAGTAGATGCACCATTACATAAGAGTACAAGTTCAGTCACCACAGGATGGAGACCTGCCAGGAAACCAAAGTGCTGAGGTCTCTTCTCTACCAGCCGCATCTGCAACACCTCATTCTACCTTTCTTTTCCTTTTTGCTGCCTAAATTCTGGGACTTGAGAAGGCAGGCCTCAGCAAATAAGCTGAACTACGCCGTTTGACCCTGGGTTTGGTCTCCTGGTTTAAATATTTGGCAGGGGGAGACAGCCCTACTCTGAGCACATAGGGACCTGTCCCCATCTAACTACAGGTAAGGATTTGTTTCATATGCCATTTCTACTATAGTATCCAAGTCACTCTGCGGACAAGTCCTATCCATCAGTCCTCATACCAGTAGTGTCCTCTAATTTAACTCACTGGACAGCAGCTCCTTAAGGAGCAAATGGTCATAACTTAAAATTAACAACATAAACCAAAATACACTGACTTAAAAGACTGTGAACTCCATGACGGCATGGCTGTGTTCTGTCTTATTCATTGCAGTATCCCCAATACCTAGCACAGTGCCTGGCATACAGTCTGTATCACAGAAATACTGGGGAAAACTAATGCAACAATGAATAAACAAATGAATACTGTGCACATACCGTAAGTGTGTACCCTGGAGAGTTATGGATGCTCAAGATTTGAAAAAGAGCTTGAAGAAGTAGTGCCTTCAAAAACTTCTAGAAAGACTCCAGTTTCAATTTTACTAAATGGTAAGCAAATTAGAAGCTAACAGTATAAGCTATCAGATAAAGTGTGGGCTCCACCATGAGCTATTTTTGTGACCTTGGGCAAGTTATTTGTTTGGTTTTGGTTTCAACTGAAAAAAAAAAAAAGGAATCATAATAATATCTACCACAAAAGTCTGTTATTAAATGAGATCAATAAAGTTAAGTTCTTGGCACAAAGCTTGGTACACGGTCCTCAAGAACTGTTCCTATTATTGCTATTATTGTTGCTTTATTAAATACCTCCTTTACTGAGGGGGAAGTAGACCTACTCAAAATTTTCATTTCTGGTTGAATATGCATCTAGCTAAAAATGCAAAGCCCAGAAAATTCAGAACTCAACGCCAAGAACATGTCTATACTAGCCTCCACTAGATGGTGACAATTTGGGTGTGGAATTCCCAAAACAGAAAAGGTGTGTGTGTGTGTGTGTGTGTGTGCGCGCGCGCGCATCATTCATACGTATATTTTAAACCAGAGGAATGAAAAGAGCAAGAAATGAATTAACCACTGCAAAGGCTGGAAAGACACACTTCTAGCTCTGCAGATGGAGAAAGGGGTAGTAAATGCCTACAGTTAATTGAACTGGGTAGTTTTACCGCACCTCTGTGCAGAGCACACACACGCCCAGTTAGCAAGAGCAACAAAGCCCAGCGAGCTCCCTGCCACCAACAGTACATTCTGTGGGAACAACAGTATTAGGCCTCTTGGCCAAGACATGAACTTCCCCCTAATGAGCCAGACTTGATTTTGACGCCCTTTTCGTCTTGGGTCTTACGGTGCCACCCCCACAGCAAGCTAATCTCATTACAGGTAACTTTCCACTTCTGCAGCCCCCCGGGCAAACCGTGAGGGAGGGTCACACCTACACTATTATTTGGAGTCCCTAAAAACCAGGAGCAAAAAAGAAAGTCTACATATATAAACAGGAAGTGGTTTCGGTGAGTCTCAGCCCGGATAATAAGTAAAGTTTCTGAGATTAAAGAGCAGATGAGGCGCGGGGGCTCCAGAAAGCTCCAATGCTCCCACACACAGACTCCCAAGATTTATTTCCTGAGGAAACCCACCGTCGCCAAGCCACCCTGCCCCGCGCAGGACCCGCAGCTATGGTCGGCCGAAGGGGGAAATAACAGTAATAAGAAAGGGGGCCTCCGCCTACCTTCTCTCCCGCGACCCACAAAGTCTGGTTTCAGCCCCGACTCCCGGCCAGGGAGCGCGACCCCATACGCCGGGCGAGGCCAGGCGGCGCGCCCGGGTCCCGGCCACCAGCTCCCGGCCGCAGACCGGCCGTCCGGTCCTCTTCCCGGCCTCCGCACAGCCCACGCCGCTGCCCGCTCAGCCTCCCCGGCCGCCCTCCCGGCCCCGCGCGCGGCCGGCCGGGTGACAGCGGGGCCGGCGCACACAGCGGCCGATGGCGGGCGGCCGGCCGGGGCTTCCCGGCGTCCCCCCCCCCGGAGGTGCGCGCCAGCCCCGCGCCCCTGACAGCCGGCCGGCCGCGCCAGTGACACAATGCCTGGCCCTGCCGCCCTCCAGCCGCGGTGACAACTCACCCCGGGAACCGCGCGGCGACCTCCGCGAGGGGGGCGCTCGAAGCTTCCGCGGCGCCGGGATCGGCTCTGCCGCCTGCGCGCGCCCGCAACCCTCTCGGGTCTAGGCGAGGCCCTGCTTGCCCTTGTCTGGCTAGCGCTGGCCGGCGCTGCAGGAGGAGGCGGCGGGAGGCGGGGTGCGAGGTTGTCGCCGGCTTAGGAGAATGGAACGCGGCGGCGGCGGCAGCGGCTCCCGCGTCACTGGCCCAGCTGTACCGCTCGGGCGGGGTAGAAGCGCGGAGGGGGGAGGGGAAGGGGCGGGCAAGGGGCGGGGTCAGGCGCGCACGCAACAAGCGCCGGCGTCGCGCCGCCGGGACCGCCCCGCTGGGAGGCCCTGCCGGTCGACGGCTGCCAGCACGCACGCGCTGCCGGAGGGGGCCGCACGCCCCGGGGGAGGTGAGCCCGGAGCCGGGATGGGGCGGGGCGGGGCGGGGCGGGGCGTGGGGGACCGCTTAAAGGGACAGTCACGCCTACTGCGCTTGAGTGGCCCCGGCCTTGGTACGGACTCGGCCTGCGCCGCGTTTGCAGTGCGCTCTCCAGTTCTTTTACTATTATTATTTTGTGGAATTTTTGGATGTTATTTGGATTATGGGATTACTATTATTTGCAAGTAATTGGTTTGCTCCCCGGTTCACAGGGCGCTTTCACGCATGTTGTCTTATTAGCTCTTGACTCGCTTACCAGACCTAGGGCTGATGCAGGTTATCATCTCCCTATTAGGGAGTACTTCTCAAACAGTGTAGCGTCGATTACCAAGCTTGAAATTGCCCCAGGGGGTAGGTGCGTGTAAAAATGCAGATTTGGGATCCCGCCTCCAGCCATTCTGATTCAGGAAAGCTAGGATCGGACTCAAGAATCTATTTTTAAGAAGCAAGCCGAAGTGATTTCTCAGCACATCGAAAGCACTGGACAGATCTCCAGGTTGAGAAAACTGTAGTTAAGAGCAAGGATCGGCAGAGTTGGTGCTAGGACCACACCATACTCCTAACTTTATTTCCCATCCTAAGCCTTGCCTCTTTGGGCTGTTTTCCAGCATATACTATGCGAACAGTTTGTGCACTGTATCGCTACATCGTTTGTTGGTGATCTCACTGCAGCCCTGGGAGGTAAGTCCTCCGTTTGTGTGTTTACAGGGCTTGTGGCCCGTTGATGGTGACGATAGTGACTTTATCTTTGTGCCCCAGGACCTTGTACAGTGCCTATTCAGAGGTGCTCGATAAATGTTCCCGGAGCTCCCACTTGAGAATCAGTGCCAGAGTTTGTGCTTGGACCCACAGACTTCCGCCTACTGCAGCTTAGGTCAGGCAGGCCCCTCCTCCCAGATGCCCTTTGGACAGGATACCCCCCTCAGGACCTCTCACCTAACCTAGTTCTACTTGGTTCTGTGGAAAATTGCTGTGAATTAACAGGGCATGTCCTTGAGGTAGCTCAAACCAGACAAGCCGAGTGCCCCTCCCCGGCCCATGCACAGGCACCCATCCCCAAGAGAATCCTCCCCTTCTGGTCCCCACAGAACCTGTGGCTATAGCTACCTTTTCCATATGTCTGTCCTTGCCCTGCCTTCTACCATGCCTTCCTGCTGGGCATCCTTCCTGTCCTGCTCATTTCCCCTCTCTGCTGGGGCTGCACTGCCCAGATCACCAGGGGGTTGAAAAGCAAGTATTAGGCTGGCCTGGGTCTGCATCAGAGCTCAGCAACCCTGTGTGGGCTTCAGGAACACCCCCAGGCACACCCCAGGCCCAGGAAGCGTAGGAGGGAAAGCGTGGGGGAAAAATTAGAGAAGACAAATGGAGAGAAGAAAAGGTGGGCAGATTACCTACAAAGGAAGCTTGGTGTAATGGAATAGAGGTTAGGCCGGGCATCCGAGCCCCTGGCTTTGTACTACAGTCAGTTTGGCCACTAACCAGTTCAGTGACCTCATGCAAGACCCACCACCTCTCACACTGTAAAATGGCTTCTGAGACTCATTGCAGATCTGAACTCACTTCCTAAAAATCCTCTCCTGGGCGCCCCCAGTGTCCACAGAATGAAATCCAACTCCCAAGCAAGGGCTGTGTCCAATGCTCTCTACATAATCTGTCCCAAGTCCCCTCCATCCTTCCACACACCCCAAATACCACCTGCGTACCTCTCACAGGCCACCCACTTTCACATCTCAGAGCTTGTGCCTACACTGTTCCCTATGCCTGGAATGTCCTCCCCACTTAACCTTTGCAAACCTTCCAGAGCTCTCCTTCCTTTCTGTGGCATTTTGGACAAGCCTCAGTTTAGCTTATATTTCCTTCTGCTTTATATTGCAGGATCAGGGGTGAGTCTCTTTTCTCCCTTTGTAAATGCTGGCTCCCCAGCCTCTCCTCTCCTCCCATTTCCCTGCCTGCCTGAATTCCTACAGAATTCCTGCTTCAGTTCCTACAGAACTGAGCAAAAGGCTCTGTACATTCTGCTATGGGTCTTGCTCATCTTTTCTGCAACATTGGGGTGATATTTCCTGGCCCAGATTACATATTTTTATGCCATTGAAAAGATAATTCTTAAAATGAGGGTTAAGAATAATTTAGACTTAGAGATTCTAATGTGGGAAGAACCATTTTTTTAAATTAAAAATTGTTTTAAATGTTTGGTTTTTTTAATTTGACAGCTTTGTTGAGATCCAGTTCACATACCATACAATCACAATTTAAATGTATAATTACATATTTATAGTGTATAGTTCAATGGGTTTTAGTATATTTACAGAGCTGTGCAACCATTATCACAATCAACATTTTCATGATCCCAAAAAGAAACTCTACCCATTAGCAGGCACTCCCTACACCCCTCTTACCCCACCACAACCAATAAGCTACTTTCTCCATAGATTTACCCATTCCAGACATTTCATATGAATGGTATCATATAATATGTGGTCTTCAGAATTAATTTTTTGTATCTTACAGCTACCATAATGACTTTTAAGGCCAGAACTAATTTTTTTATTTTCATTTATTTATCTAGACCCTACCTGTTCTAAAAGGATTTAAACTGGCTCTTTGAGTTGATAGTATTCCTAGGTCCTCCCAGATTTCTAGTACAAATCTTAGTACTCTAAGCCTAGGTACTGGAAGATGGCTTAGAGTTGGACCCAGGTTGGTGGTGAGTAGTCAGTCATCCCAGTTTGGGGCTGCTGGGGTCCCTGGGACTTGGGATCCCTGATGCTAAAACTAGGAGAGTTCTGGCAAACTGAGATGAGTTGGTCACTCATATGAGTCAGAGGGCATGGTTTTCTTTCTCCCTGTTCCAGGAATCCAAGTAGGAGCTCCCCCCTCATCACTGCAAGGGCAGGAAGTAAAGGAGAGAAAAGGTTGGGAATTAATACTTGGTATCTGTATTGCTATCATTGTTATGTTTAACAGCAGGAATGGCAGCTACTATTTATTGAAGACCTACTATGTGCTAGGTACTTGGTAAGGACAACTTTATACATGTAGCCACTAATTTTGACAACAATCCTCCAAATTAAGTATCATTATCACCATTTTACACATGAGGAAACAGTCTCACAGAGATTTTTGTAACATCAAAAACTACCTGGGTGGTGCAGTTGGTTGAGCACCCGACTCTTGGTTTCAGCTCAGGCTGTGATCGTGGGGTTGTGAGATTGAGCCCCATGTCAGGCTCTGCACTCAGTGCAGAGTCTGCTTGAGATTTTCTCTTCCTCTGCCCCTCACTCTCCTCCCCCCCAACTCTCTCTCTTTCTCTGAAATAAACAAATCTTAAAAAAAAAAAAGACAAAGCATGTATGTTGCAAAATGAGAATTCATTCTTGTTTGTTCCAAAAGTTATACTTTTCCAAATACATCATATGGCCCCTCCTACCCCCAATAAAAATAGCAAATAGTGACACAAATTGTCCTTACATATTTCTTGATCTTTCTGAAAGTGCTTTCTTGCATACCAGCTTGTGTTATCTGCATAACATCCCCATAAAATGAGACATTAATTAACCCCCTATTGAGACACCGAGCAGGTTACCAGCTTATCTGACCGCACATGGGAGTTAGCATGGGGTTTCTTGTTTTAATTCAAGATTCCTCCAGTAGTCTTCAAAGCCCTGTGACAATAAATAAGTAAACCCACCTGACACCAGAGGATCTGGACGTATTCAAGCTATCTTCACCACAGAAAGTCAAGAGTCCGAGATGGGTGGGCCAGGCAGGGCTGAACCAGCAGAGTTGAGGGGCAGTTCCCACCCTGGGGAGAAAGATTCTGAGCTCAGGTGGTTGGTTGGTTGTCTGAATATGCAGGCCTGTGCCATCACCCTTCCTCAGATATTCAGGAGCCTATGACCCCAGACATGTCAGGAACCTGTGAGAGCCAGGCTCAGTGACCGGGGCACTGTTGGCCTCTAGTCAGGGGGCTTTGCAGAGGTCAGAGGTCAGAGCAGGGCTGCTCAGATTAGGAGTCCCTGTTCTGGGAAAAAGGACACCTGAGGCAGTGTGCACCTAATGCTGCCCAGTCAGTAAGTATAAGAGAGTGACCCAACCCCCCCCCCCCCCCCCCCGCTTTTCTGAAGCACTGACAAATCTTTGACACTTTTATCTGGTAAAAATCAGGTAAACTGGATGAAAGTGTTGTTCCCGTTTTACACTCAAGGAAAAGCCAAGGTAGCAAAGAGAGTGTCTACCTGCTCTGTCTTCAGATAACTGTCCAGATCCCCCCTCACCAGGTTCCAGTCACCCTGTTTCCCTGTTTCTACTTTCTGCCCTTTGCCCCAGGGCTGGGCAGTGACTTTGGGAGTCAACCAGCTGGGAAGAAGGAAGGCACTGGGGGCAGCCTGTGGCCTGAGGCTCTTGCAGACAGAAACCCCACCCACATGGCTCCTGGTCATTTGACACTGCATTCCCTTGATGACTTTCTTCCTCAAGGCTGCCCAGGGCAGTTCATTCTCAGGTGACTTCATGGTGGATTGGCTTTGCTAGCTCTGAACTGCAGGTGGATGGAGGAATGGAAGGACCCCCTCCTTCAGACTGTCTGAAGAGGCAGAGGCAGGGCTGTGAATTCTGACCAACTTATATCAGAATGTCTGCCAGGCACTATGCTAATGGCTTTACATACATGATTTCATGCAATCCTTGCAGGAACCTGTGAAGTAGGTATGAATCCTATTATCTCCATTTTACAGATTAGGAAACTGAGGTACAGAGAGGTAAAGATAAGGCCAAGGCCATAGTTACTAA